AACACCTCCCTCGGGAGGCGCCCTGGCCACGTCCCCAAAGCCAGCTTCTGGTCTGTCGAGGCCCCTGGCCTTCACTGCCACCTATTTGGCATTGCACCCGACCCCAGTGGTTTCTCCTGTGAGTGGGGTGAAGATGTGTCCACGTCACTCCTTCGGGCTATGCCCGGCCACCAGGCGCTTACTTTCGGGACCCCCTTCCAGGCCTGACTCCCTGGGCTTGCTCCGGGCTGGGTCTATCTACTATAGTGAAAATGTTACAGAAAATGTTATTTGCTGATGTTTGCTTGTTGTTTGCTTATTGGCTGACAAATGATTATTCACAGAAACACACTTAGATGTTAAAATACATACATTTTTGTCTGTGGTGTCTAAAAAATGATTTTGACATGTTTTTAATGACAATGAATGGTGTATAAAGTTGCAGTAACACTTTGTGACATCTGGTGGTATAGTTGCAGATTGTTTCACCCTCCCTTTCCAACTGGAGGGACAAACTACAGTGGCTGTGAAATGCATAATTAACATGGATGGCCCTACCTAAAGCCAGTGTTTGTTTTATCCCTTCTAAGCTTCTGTGGGAACATGGACCAGCGGCATGTGTAGATAAAAACAGCTCATTCTAAGGCAACAAAAACACTATGATTCTTATTTTCAGCTGATTCTACAATAATGAAAACATACCTATGTTAATATTATATTCCATTTCTGACAATAGATAGATTTTACACACTGGCCCTTTTAATGAGTAACTAACTAGAGACTGTATAACACTTTAGGACCCTGGGACTGAGACTCAACTATCTTCAAGCTTCCAACCCAAAGCATCTTTCGCAGCTCTGATTGGTTGTTTTTGTTCAGACCCGGTAGATTCGTACAAATCCCTTTAGGAGTTCTACAAAGAGCCACAGAAACGGATGTACTACTGTCAGAACGCAGTGAAAATTCAGCAATAATGACAATGTCACCTACTACAGCTTCAAAGGTCCAGTGTGTAACATTTAGGAGGATCTATTGGCAGAAATGAAAAATAATGTATAACTATGATTTCATTAGTGTTTAATCCCCTGAAAAAAGGAATCTGTGTGTTTTTGTTGCATTAGTGAGCCATTTCTATCTACAGACACTGTGCGTCACCTTCTATGGACTCTGCCGTGTTTCTACAGTAGCCCAGAAGGGACAAACTTAACACGGGCTCTAGATAGGGGCGATCACGTTTTTCATGCATTTCGTGGCCACTGGAGTTTCTCCTTCGCGCTTAGAAGGGGTGGGTGATGCGAGGAAGTCGTGATCTGCAATTACGCCGCTAGACGCCACTAAATCCTCCACACTGGTCCTTTAAAGGGGTCACGTCTCGCATTTTTAACTTTCACTTAAAGAGCCTTTTTTTCTGCTTTTGTTTTGCCCTGATGATTCAGCTCAGACAGCCTTATATCCATAAATTGTGACAATATTTGAAAATGAATTGTGTTTTTCACTTTCACACAGTTTCAACATCTGTCTTACCCTGGCATGCCGATGGTACCCAGAGCCAGAGACAACGAGACGTCTTGCGGCCAGTCGGGAATGAGGGGAATGAGGTCCGTTGCGCCACAGACTGTGTGGGTTCTCCAGCCGCAACGACCAACAACATGGCTTCCCACGGGAAATGCTGGGTTATTGCTTTGGATCACTCTGCGGAAAAACAAAATAACACAAAAACAGAAGAAGAAAATAAGGCATCTGTCAATCAAGGTATTGCCACCTGTTCCCAGTCCGTGGTGTCGCTGTGCTTCTGCTGTAGCTGCTGCATATGGATGGCACACACACGCAAAACCCTCTGTATACAAGTGTGTTGTGGTATCCTGGACAACTGTGTGATGTCAAACCATGTGGCAGATTAGCTTTAAGCACTAACAACAAAGTAGAGAAAATAGATAACACGTGGGTTCTTTGTAAAGTTTGACCACTGAGTGATTTACTGTGTATGTTTATCGAGACTGAAACAGATTAAAGCGTTTGAACACTCAGCCAAGAACATTTCACTTAATCCGTTTTTCGCTTTCTGTAAATCAAAAGGCATCGGTAATTAATAGCAGGTGCAGGACTGGTTCTGATTCGGGGAACAGCGTGCGTGCACAGTGTATCATGACAGACAAAAGGCATTCCTGTGTGCGTGGGTGAAGTGTGTGATGTGTTTGTGTTCCTTACTTGGACACTTGAGTTCCGATCATCACGTCTCCTTCTTTCATGCGAACCCTACTGAACGGCCTGGAGAGACAAACATGACATTGTATACGAATTTTTCCATGCTTGATTTTATAGCATCAAAAAGACCGTTCGCCTTAGTAATTCTGAATGTTTCTTTCGGGCTCACCTCATGTATGGGTCGACGCTGAGAAACACAGCTTCCAAAAGTACCTCTGGAACAAAAACACACACATTAAGACTTAAACAACAGATGTTTTCCGCCTGTGTGTGTGACTCAGTTGTATAAATCATGAGTCAATTATAATGCTTTGTGTTTAATGTTTGAGACATAATGTACACAAACAGCGTGAGCTCCTCTTCAAAGTACTCTACTTCTAAGTAGAGAGAATAAAGAGAATCATCTTACCTCCATCCTTGGGCTCAGGGAGCTCCTCCACCTTGAGCTCAAAGTCGCTGTCCTTCGGGAAGCCGTCAAAGTGCTTCTTCAGGATCCACGTCTTAGCTTGGACCATGATTCTTTGTTCTGAGGGGGGGCAGCTGTGAGAGATGATATTTAAATGAATACGGTAATTCAAGTGGAGGCTGTAATAAAGCTTACTTGAATTATGAATGTGAGAAAAAAGATTTAAACATAGGCATGTGTAATTAACCTAAATCAAACTAAATCAAATATAGACTTTATTAAAGCAGCACAAGTATTAGTTACATTATAATGTTAAATCATTAATTGATGTGGTTCTCCTTGCAGTTTTAGATTATATTTGGAATGAAGGTATAATAACAGGTAAGTTTCCAAACCAAAAACTACTATGCAAAGCAATTATTAAACAGGAATGCATTCACTTTATAGAAGCATGGCCACACACACACACTCATTAAAAAAACAGGAAGAAGCAACCCCAATAAAATTCTGATTATGCAACTCACACACATCAATTGGGGTGATGATAATGTCTAATACAGTTTAAAAGCAGACAGCAGTGAGTGGTGTGTGAAGGTGTAAATATAAAACCAGTAATATAACACTAGTTACTGGCTCGAAAAAGCAAACAGCATAACATTATAAGCTCATAAGTGAGAAGTTAACTCCCTGCTGTGGGCTCTCGGTCTGTTATGTGTTGACTGATATCTCCTCTCATACAACAGCATGCAGTCCGGGTCCGGTTTGCCCACATGTGGTCTTACATACACCCCCATTAGCTGTATCCAATATAACTCACCAGTTGAAGTTCTCCGCAAAAAATCGGCAGAAGAAATGAATTCACTGAACACAACAGCGGCGGGTTGTGGGACGCATGGGAGGAGAGGAGGCGGGACTCGAGCTTTGAGCGTTAAATCTGATTGGTTAAAGGTTTAATACACGTCAGAAGATCATCCAATCAGATTCATGGGGATGGTGGCGGTGTATTGTGTGTGGTAATGTTGGTTGCACTAAAATGGGGAGACGACACTAGACAAGGTAATGTTTTACCATGTTTAGGTTCTTCTTTCAGTCCTGAGAAGTTTAAGGTTGTTTCATTCAAACAGCAGTCAAGACTAGATGAAGCCCTTCAAGAGCAAACCAGGGAGGTCAGGTGACATCTTTATCATCTTTAATAAAGTGTGTATGCAGTGGACAAATAGGAGAGAGGAAAGTAGTGACGTCAAGGTTAAGATTGGGGCATTGTGCAATAAACACAACTGTGAAAATGGTATGGAAACATCAGAGAGGCTTATGTGAGGGAAGAAGAGTCAGTGGAGCATGTAGTTGTATGAGGTATGGGAGAGAGAGGGAGGGATGATGATGAGGAGGAGGAAAAACAGGGAATTAGGGGTGCAGGAATTCACATTAAAGGTGTTACTAAGCATGAGTGAGTGAACACAGGTTAGGGTATTGTTGGGCCCTTAAAGGATACAGGGGTTTCTATGGGGTATGACGGATAAACGGGAATAGGTGATAGGGTGGCTGATATGTATAGGGATTTTATAGTAGGATAGGGCAGTGGTTCCCAACTAGTGGGTGGGGTAGGCCTATATCTCAATCAGATCAGAATCAGAAATACTTTAAGATAAGATAAGATAAGATAATTCCTTTATTTATAAGGAGAAATTCATTTTGACACAGCAGCAATAGGGCAAAGCAGCGCAAAAACAGAAAACAAAGAATATCACAGTAAAAATATTGCTAAT